AACAAGAGCTCGGGACCCCGGGTTTGCTAAGACCCGTAAACACGTAAGAACGTGTTCCCCTGGGGGATTACAAATACCTAAACACATCACCAAAAAAAGACAGACCTTGAATAAAAAGTAAAAAAAATTTCCTAATAAGCACCGAAAGGTTTAAACAGCTATCCAACAACAATTATAACCAACCAATCAAGAATAAATACTAAATTATTAGTCATAAAAACAATCAACAAATCTATCAAAAACAACAAAAAATAAAAACCAATAAACAAACACACATCAAAAACCACAATTGTCGAAAAACAAGAATCAAAACAAATAATCCAAGTTCTGAAAATAAAATAAAAACAAATTAATTAATATTCGATTATTTTGTTATAAATTTCCATTGAATAATTGAATAAAATTTAGGTAAACCTGCTCCCGTACAAGTCCAGACGAGTGTTGAAACCAAATAAAATCCAAATTCTGAAAAGAAACATTAAACTAAATCAATAAAAAATTGTAAAATTGGATATAAAAATATATTGATTGATTTAAATTGAAATATACATTATAAATTAAAGACAGCTGCATCAAAGTTATTATCATGAGTTAATTTAAAGCACATGATTGAAAGGTTTTTAGTATTTTATGTAAATTAATTGCATTTGGATTTTATTCCATTATACATTTATGGTATCAAATGCAAAACAATTAAAAGTGGTTGCCCGACACACCCGTATTAAACTTGACTAAGGTTGAAAGTTAATTTTGATCAAAGGTTTAAAAGGTATTAATATATTTTATGCAAATTAAATAATCTTGATTTTATGGACATGTATAATTCATAAAAATAAATTAAGAATAATACCTGGCAGCTGAACGAATCCTGATGAAGTTTGAATCAAGAAAATCCAAGCACTGAAAATAAATATAAAAACAGATTAATTAAAATTGGAATATTTTGAATTAAAATTAGATTTAAAAATATAAATGAAATATAATATAGTTAAACCGGCTCCCGAACGAATCCTGATGTCTGTTGAAATACAAAAAAATCCATGTTCTGAAACGAAACATAAAAACAAATATATTAAAATTTGAATATTTTAAAATAAGATTATAATCATTAATTTAAATTGCAATATATTTTAGGTAAACCGACTACCGAACGAATCCTGATGACGGTTGTAAGACGAAAAATACAAATTCTGAATAAAAATATAAAAAGAAATGAATAAAAATTAATATATTTTCGAATAAAATTAGAGTGATGAATTTAAATTGAATTATATTTATAAATGATGAACGCGATTTATTAGAGTTTAATATTATAAGTTAAATTTAATCGCATGTTTTAAAGGTATTAATTTATTTTTGGTATGTTAAATAATTTTGATTTTATATAGATTAAAAATTTGAAGTGTATAATAAAATAATATAAATAAAGATAGTTACCTAGCTATTGAATATTGAAATAAGATAACCCAAGTTCTGAAAATAAATATAAAAACAGTTTAATTAAAATTGGAATAATTCGAAATAAATTTAGATTGAATAAAAAATAACTCACCCAAACCACAGATGCCGAAAAAGAAGAACAGACCTAAAACAAAGATATAAACATTTCCCTAAAACGAAAAAAAAAAATCTCTAATAAACACCGAATGAGTTGGACAGCTGTTTAACACTAAATATAAATAACCAAACAAAAATAAATATAAAATTATTACTCATAAAAACAATCAACAAATCTATCAAAAACAACAAAAAATACAAACCAATAATCAAATGCCTAGCAAAAACCAAAAAACCACAAATGACAATGAACAAAAACAGACCTATAACAAAGAGTATATACAAATCCCTATTTCTAAGCCAAAACATTTGAACAGCTGATCATAACTTCTAACAAACAAACACGAGCTCAGGACCCCGGGTTCGCTAAGATCCGTAAACACGTAAGAACGTGTTTCCCTGGGGGATATCAAATACAGAACACAAACCACAAGAGAAGAAGGGCAAAAACAGACCTATAACAAACAGTAAAAACAATTCCCAAATACAAATCCAAAAGAGTTGAATAGCTGATCATTACTTCTAACAACCAAACACGAGCTCAGGACCCCGGGTTCGCTAAGACCCGTAAACACGTAAGAACGTGTTCCCCTGGGGGACAACAAAAACCTAACATAAACCACAAAAGATGAAGACCAAAACAGAACTATAAAAATCTGCCTAAACAAAAAAAAACGAAGCCAAAAAAGTTAAACAGCTGATCATTGACACCTACACACAACCAAACACGAGCTCAGGACCCCGGGTTCGCTAAGACCCGTAAACACGTAAGAACGTGTTCCCCTGGGGGACAACAAAAACCTAACATAAACCACAAAAGATGAAGACCAAAACAGAACTATAAAAATCTGCCTAAACAAAAAAAAAACGAAGCCAAAAAAGTTAAACAGCTGATCATTGACACCTACACACAACCAATCAAGAGCTCGGGACCCCGGGTTTGCTAAGACCCGTAAACACGTAAGAACGTGTTTCCCTGGGGGATATCAAATACAGAACACAAACCACAAGAGAAGAAGGGCAAAAACAGACCTATAACAAACAGTAAAAACAATTTCCAAATACAAAGCCAATACAGTTGAACATCTGATCATCACTACCTAATCAGAACAAAATCATAAAAAAGAGACCAAAAACATACATGTTACAAATAGTATAAACGATTCCCTAATTTAAAGCCAACAGTGTTGATCATCTGTATAACACTACCTACAAACAACCAAACTGAAAAAATTAAAGAACTACAAAGAATAAAGAATAGACAACAAATATATCCAACACCACAATATAATACGAATGATCAAACAAACCAAAGAACAAAAACAGACCTATAAAAATCAAACAAACAGTAAAAGCAATAACCTAAACCGAAGCCTATAATGTTGATCAGAAGTTCAAGACGTAACTTGAAACAATCAAACAAAAAATTGTATAGAACATCTACGCATAAGAAAAAGACAACAAAAATATAAATTAGCACAAAAAATACAATAATTATTTATGAAAAAAAATCAATTTAAAATACACGAGGAAACATTTTTATACACTTACTAATTTTTTTTCGCTCGAGTAGGCAATATGAATATACCTGAAAATCTATATGATGCCAATAACAACTCTATACATACATTTTCCTGATTTTGGCCAAAGCCGTGCTCGAACTACGATCTATATATTTAATGCGTGGCGTTACTTAGGGATGGACCCGATGACAGGTGGTGATTGCTCGACCTGGGCAGATGCACGCTGCACCCTGCCGGTCTGCTGACTTCCGTACCTAAATATTTTATTTTATTTATTTTATTATTCAGAAAATATTTGTAAGTTGGAGTATGTTATAACATGTATACATTTTCCACTGCACTTTAAATGGAATTATAGAAATACAAATACTATTATAATTCTGTAGGTACATTTAATTTATAAAAATTCTGGGCGCTTCATCTTCCCTTAAAATTTTTTTATTTCCGCCACTGAACACATTGTATGGATATAATACATTTTTAAAAACCAGTAATTATAATGAAATTGCTTAAACAATATATATTAATCAACAACAATAAAAAAATAATCCACTTTATTAATATCCAAGATAAAATATCAACGAATTTATATCTAGGTTACGTACATTAAAAAATTAAAGCCAGACATCGAGAAGTATTTTTAATTTTCTATTGTATTGAAATAATTTTTCCATTTCATAATATTAGATATTGAACAATTATTTAAAATAGAAAAATCCTCACCAAATAAGCAAATAGTAATAATGTACAGTAATTATTATTGCACATACATATTTGGAGAACTATATATGGAATCTTTAAAGATAATCGTGAATTGCGCAGAACAGATCTAGCGGCTTTAAAAAATTATATTGTTTACAAATAGATATGTATATTATTAATGCTAATTAATATAATATGACACAGTGCCAGTCAAAACAATTTAATATGCATTATTTTGTATTTATTATGAGTAAATATAATGCATAATGATGAAAAATACATATTTTTATTCATAAAGGATGACTATAATTCAAAAAAATTTGCCGCCTTGTGCGGTCGCACGGGTCGCACGTGCCTTCCGCCGACCCTGAATAGTATAAACATAACGATTTATTAATATTTGAATTATTTCAAATATGAAGAAAAAATAAACACTGATGTAATTCAATTTATAAATTTAGAGTATTAATAAATTAAATGAATATTAGATGGAAAAAAACGTATTTAAGTAAAAGAAAAATATTATATACACAAACGAGAATACTTAACTATTATAAGTTTTAAAAAAGATTAAATATAAAAAAATAAAATAGTAGCTATAAAAAAAATGAATATAATTTATTTAAATTACAATTACAGTTGTTATTTAAAAGAAAAACGATGTACCTGTATTAGCGGGAGAAAGTAAGAACTTATTTCTCGTTAGTTCTTTTCACTCTGGATCGGCTCCTAGACTTCGGTTGTTTACTGTCATAAAATAAACAACAAGAATTTTTAAATAATCAAGTATGCTTTAAGATTTAAAATAAAAATTAATTATGATTTTAGTTTTTTTTAATTTAATTTTAAATATTAAGAAAAAAAATGTTGTAATAAATTGAATTGGTCAAAATGAAAATATTTAACAAACCCACATAGAATATGACAAATTTATGTATATATATGACATAGATTATCTGTCTCATCGATGCTAACCGTCATGGTTTGTCGCCAAAACAAATTATTAAAATGTAAATGATTTTTATATAAGAGTACAACAATTTATTTTAATTATAAATTCAATAACCGAAAAAATACTAAGGTCTGTTAAATTTGTAACATTTTTTTACGATCTAGGACATTTCGGCACCAGCGTTTCGGCGCGAGGTACGTTTCGGCGCCAGGTGTTATATGGACATTCTGTCGGATGAATTACCAGAAGAAATCTTACTCTTGTTAGACTGGTTTGAAGAAAATTATATAGATAGAGTTCATAGAAATCGACGTCGAAATGCACGTTTTCCTCCAAATCTGTGGAATGTCCACGAACGAGTTTTAAATAAAAATGATAGAACTAATAATTATGCCGAAGCCGCTAATAGACGACTCAATGTTCAAATGGGGGTTACTTATCCAACACTATGGGCTTTTATATCTTGCTTAAGAAAAATACAGAGTGGTCGAGATACTTTTTTATTGCCAATTAGAAACTGGTAAAAGCCCACCGAAAAAACAAATTTTTGGATGTTGATTAGCGAATCTTTAAAATAGTTAGCAATTATATTAATAGGGATATATTAACATTTTTAAGAGGTATTGCTCATAATTTAAGCATGACACAATCATATATTACATGTTTATTTTATTATTAGAGTGACATATTGATATTGTATTATTAATTTTATATTTATTATTTATTATGCACGATATTATCAAAACTATAAATTTTTTGACAATATCTACAAAAGTGAATTATAATATTAATTTTATAGAAGTAAATTTTTGTATTATGTAAATTAGTGTTATCCAGCGCCGAAACGCCGAAACGCGACAAAATGGCCGCGCCGAAATGTCCGTGTTCGATTTTTTTATACACGCTCATTTATAATTCTGTTTCAAAATAATTTTTACTGAAACTATTAGGCTATAGCGCTTGTTATAATATTGCTATGTACAAATATAACAACGAATTGTAATTTGAAACACGGCTAAAAATATTTATAATTTACAATATCTTATAACAATTTATTATATTTATAAATATTTCTCAATCCCGATAAAAAAAGTATGCCAAAAATGGCTTTATCTCCTGGTCCCCGGCTGCTGGGGAAAATATATAATAAGTCCTAATTTTAAATATTATTTGTATACTTACAAAATAATAATTAAAAATTATTAAAAGCATTATACTTTCAATTTTAAAAAAAAAATAAAAAGAGATATTGGAGATATTGGGGTCTAGAGACTACTCATACAGGTGAAACCCGTGTGGAGGTACTGAATAAGCAATTTCAATTGACAATCCAACACTTACAAACGAAAAGCATTAATTTACTGATTGAAACTATAGGTGAATTTAATTTATCCTTTTTTTCAATGATTATTTAACGTTTAATCATTAAAACACAAGATTTAAAAATTGAAGGAACTTCATATACAAGGCAAAATTTTGTTTGATGTGTTAACAATACATTAATTATTTTTGACAATAAAAAAAATCTAAATTTAAATTTTATAAAATTGTAATAGAGTATTAAAATTAAAATTTGATTAATTTTACTTTTGAAATATTAATTAGATATTGATGTGTAATATTATTTATTTATATACATATATGTTTTTTTTTAAATTTGTTATATATTTTGCGTAATGTAATAATTATTCTGTATGTTTTTTTTAACTTTATAATTTAAAAAAGGCCAGTATGTATCATAATATTAACAAACCAGTGCCCTCTCATATAAGAATGTCACATATGCCGAAAAATATTATTGGATTTCCTATTTCTACAGAAACTTGTCTGCTTCACCTTATTTGTTGTATAGATTAAATCTCTAATATTTTTCATTAAAATCTTTAAATAATGCTAAAGCTACCACTGGTTGATATACTGTGCATTATATTATACTTTCAATTGTTAATAAAAAATAAAAAAAAGGTATCCTGGGGTCTAAAGAATACTTATGCAGAAGAATTAAATAAATATTTATTATAATAAAAAACAAAGAATACTAATGCAATTAAATTGATAAATTTAGAGACTAATAATTTGAATGAATATTGAATGGAAATATTTTATTTAAATACCCGAGGCTACTTAATTATTTTTATTTTTAAAAAGGTAATGGATTATATGAAAAAATATATTAGAAACTAAAAAACATAAATTAAAATAATTGTATTATGATTGCATTTATTATTCAAAATATAAAAGGCGTACCTGTATTTTCGTGAAGTAAATAGGTATAGGTTAGTGTCTTGTTATTTCGTTTCACTCTGAATCGGCTCATAGATGTCGGCTCTTTACTGTTATAAAATAATTATTTAGTAGTTATTAAATAATCAAGTATGCTTTAAGATTTAAAAAAAAATGAATTATGATTTTAGTTTTTTTTAAATTTTTTTGTACATTATAAACAAAGATCTGAAAGAAATGTAATTTGTCAAATTGAAAATATTGAACAATTACAAATGGAATATGACAATTAAAATTGGACATAGATTATGTGCCTCATCGTAGCTAATAGTCGTGATTTACCGCCAAAAAATAGTATTTAAATTTAAATGATTTTTATATACGAGTACAACAGTTTATTTTAATTTTTTCTTTTTTAATATTATTAATCATTGATTTTCAACTTCGGCTGCTGTAGCCATTAGATACATTTTTTAAATTTTAATTGTTTATACATATAAATATTGTTTTTTTAATTAGTTTGTAAAGTCCAGTCTTTTTGAGAAAAGGAATGAGGTCAACGTTTATTTCTGGTCCGATGTTTTCGTATAAGTTTGCTTAAACTGTTTAAAAACTTAAATTATATTATTAATAATTTTTAATCAGTAATTGTTAGTTGATACTTTAATACTAGTATAATTCCCATTTTGTATTTACACTTCTACTCGGCCTATACTCGATACCCGGTTTGTATTAAAATTTTTACTCGGCCAATACTCGATACCCGGTTAGTATAAACAATTTTACTCGGTACCCGGCTTAGTACCAGATTTTTTACTCAGAACATCTTTAATATTTATACTTTTTTTATTGAAGCCGCAGCAACAAAGATTAACGGCTTTTAGTAAAATTACAAGAATGATACGTGAGAATGTCGAGCTGCTTATAAATTATGAACTCGTATAAGAGATACGAGTTTTGTGATTATAATGGACAACTTTGTTTTAGGTTATCTTAAATTTAATGGTACAATTGTATTGTTTTTAGAAGGATATTTTAACGCGAGCACGGCTAACTGTTCAAGAGGTGAATTAACATATCTCAGGTTGTAAAAATTATTTTTAACATTTATACATTTAAATGTTTGCGCGTGTACATTTATCGTTTAAGTAAAAAATTAAAAACAACAATGATAGTTAACAATATATTAATTTATGCTCGAAACACTTGGAAACCATAGAAATAATTATTTTTCTTATGAAAGTAGATTCTCAAAGAAATATTATATTTTTAGTAGATATTCACAAAAATAAGTTTGACCATTCCACAACTATTTATTTATTTCGTATGGCTATCCTGAAGGGCAATGACATCCACTTTATTGTTGAATATAATTTTTGATAATATCATCATTTTTGATAATCTCGCATTTGGCTTTAGAGATACCCTCAATATTGAGGTAACATATCCTAAGATAAGTACCAATATTTAGCGTCAAGTGGTCCTTAAAAGGACCATTTTTGTTAGGCATTGTAAGTGTTGATTTGTATTGCTGGGTATCAGCGTCTAGTTGATGGTA